GCTAGAATTAGATAATATCATTTATAATGATTGGGTGTTTGGCGACAAAATTTATGGGAGATTTTATGTGGTTGATATAGATTTCACTTTACCGCCTCTCTACATGCATCGTGCAAAATTATTAAGCGAGCAGAGATGGGCAAGAAATTTACCTTTCGTTCAATCTTCTTAATTCCTTTTGAGTGAGTTCAGAAAATGTAAATGCCATTTATCGTTATATGTATGCTATATGCTACCCTTAAAAATTCGTACGACATCGAATATACTTATTTATTTCTTTGGTAAGATGTTGTCACACATTCTCACTTCTATAGTGAAAAAATGATTAACGTTAGGTTTTTTAAGTGCATTCATTATAAAACTTGTTCGTTTACAATAGAAACATATATCGATATTAAAATTCTTATTAAAATATGACAGAAAGTTTCAGAACACGTGCAACAAACTACATTAAAGATAAAGCGCGGAGTGCCTTGAATTCTAGTAATAAACAAGACAAAGATTTCTCAAATGAAGCTGCAGAAACTCAGATTCCTATCTTTACATCGCATCATGGTGAAAATGGTGCTGCTGAAGTTGTACAGGATTTAGTTGCTGAAGCTTTAAACGACATGGAACAGAAATGCATCTTGTTACCTACATATGCTTTTCGAGACCAAGGTAGAACAATCAAGTAATCGGGGTTCTAAATATAAAAATAACGTCATTTGACGTAGATGATCATCAAAATTAAATGATCTATTTATTCTTAGCCAATCCTAATGAATGGACAGTACGCGTACGAGGTTGGGCATACGCGACACGAAAGAAAAGTCGCAAAAGAAAATTAATGATGGGTAAATCTTTTTTCAAAGAGAATTCTATCTTCGTAGAATTAAAATTTTAAATCACTTCATATTTTAAAATAGGGGTTGCGCGACGCATAATGGTCAAAGATGAACAACAAGGCAAATATTTAGAAGATCGATTTGGAATGTTTCTAACTAAAAATGTTCGTAATCAAAGGTATAGAGTAAAAATAATCGGACTCGCTCATCCCTCTCACATGAAACTTGAAGGTGATCCGGATTCGGATGATAAATCAGATAATGGAAGTAATGCCGAAACAGATGATGAAACATTAATAGAGAGTGAATCGGGAGACGAGAGTGGCGAAAATAGTATCTGTGAAGAAGAAATTGAAACTGATTCAGGAATAGCTCACGTAACAACTGATACAGGACATTTTGAGGGTAAACTTACTATTTCTAATGAAATTGTAGATAGATGGATATCGAATGCCAATGAGGAAGATGATGGTTTTGGAAATCATATGAGATTATTCAGATTAGAGGCGAAACGTTGTGGAATTAGACGTGGTATATTTGATTGAAATATTTTATTATTAAATATTATTCCAAGATAGGAATTAATGCATCATTTTTTTTATAAGCCGCGCCAGTTTTAGGTTATGCAGATTTAATTGACACAGAAGGAATATCAATAATATCGGTGAGTTACATGCTTGAAAATGGAGAATTATTCATTTTATATATCAATTTTTAATTATATTTAGGATATTGATGATACGATCAAAGATACAGATGTAGTTGGTGGCGCAAAGACGATTATTGTGAATACATTTTTAAAAGACTGTAAGGAAGTAAGTTTTTTTTATTCTATATAGAATAACTATAATTAAATCGAAATATTTCTAAATTTTTTTCATTATGTAGGTTCCTGGCATGGCGGCGCGTTATTTAGAATGGGTAAGAATCATAAGAAATTATTGAATAAATGATTGAATTTTGAATAAATGATTAGATTTTCGCAAATAGTATCGTAGAGGAGCGTCCATTCACTATGTCTCCAACTCACCCTGGCAATTATTTCCAATGCTTAAATCGTTTTTCAATACGTGGTCCTTTCCGCCTGGATCAGCTCATTTGAAATTCTACAATAATATTAAAAGTATAACAGAAACTAACGGGGAAAATAAAAAGGCAGCTATTCGCCAAATTTTGCAGGTTTGATTTCCGGTAATTTATTGGTCAGTGATTCAGTATAATGATTTAGTTCTCAGGAACTTTCATTTGTAAATACTTGGTTTGGTGACGACATTATAATAGGATTTTCCCAAAAGAAAGTTTATCCTTGTTGGTGATAGCGGTGAGATAGATATGGAGATGTAAGTGATGTTTTGTGGTTTTCGTTTACTGAAAGTTCAACATGTTGACGGTTTTATTTCTGTAAACAAAAAAGTTACGCATCGATTGTTAAAGAATTCAGCCCAAAAGAACAAATAATACACGTTTTTATTCGAGATGTCACCACTAAACTTGTAGAAAACCAACCGGCGAGACGTGCACGTTCTTTACCATTTATCCCAAAAAGAACTTCATCGGCAAATTCGTTCCGTACCTCAAAAACCATGCCCAATTTAAACATGTCTTCGTTAGATAAACATAATGAGGATGATTATGAGCAAACGATATCCCCCGATTCTGAAAATTCATCACAAACATCAGCTCACGAAACTGCGGAATGCGAACCTCAGACACCATTAGAGATATTTCAAGAACGCGTGCAAAAGATTCAAGAGTCCATTGAAGCTGAAGGAACTGGGTTTACTTTGTTTACGGAAGGAGATGAATTGATAGGTCATGCGAAAGTCGAGCAAGCATTTGAAGAATTAGAAGAGCGTCGTTTTAGTTTCTGATCAATTACACTGGACTTTTTTTGATGTCAACTAGAGCGGATTTATTAAGACAATAATTTATTATAGATTATATGTATGATGATCCATAATAATTGTCACTTTATTAGCATCTACACATTGAATACCAGTCATCCCAACATCTCCATCGCTCAGATAGTTTATTATTTATACCCTTACATTATGTATAATAACAACATGTATGTATATTCGTCGTTAGAGAAAATTACTCTTAATATATATATATATATATATATATAACATCTTTTAAAGGTTTTAATTCTCTATACTTTGAAGTTGCTTCATTAAAATCCAAGATGCTCTAATCTAAATGATAAAATCTAATATATTGTAAAAATATAGTGCACCCTTTCTTAAATTTGCCGTTACACTCAAGCCCAAAACACTGAGTTTTTGTGGTAAAGTTTACCTTGTCGGCAGCATTTTCGTCTTTCGCAACGCTCACTTAACGTGATCGAAACAATAAATAGCATGATTCCCAGTTATACGTGACGCGTAAAAAAGCACGACATTATCATGAACGCGAAGCCGTTTCAAAAAATACAACTAACCAAATTTTTTACCAAATTCATAGAATGAAATAAATCTGTTCTATCGTCAAAATTTGGAGATCGATTGTGAGACTTTTATAAATGGCATTTGAACTTTTAAATTTTAGTCTTCGACGATTAATAAAAACCAGCTTAATATACTCTAGACGCTACAATGCTCAACGTTTTCTTAATACTGTATCAGTCAAATCCACAAATACTCAAAATGCCACTTCCCAACCAGCTATTCTCGTAGAATCAAAAATATCGTCTCTTACAAGTGACGCTGACAAAGAAGCTCTTATTAAGAATATAGCTCTTTTACAGAAACCACGTACAATCTCGTACTTTACTGGTTCACCATTTTATAATGATCTTATAATTCAATTAGATGAATTAATGGAAAAGTACAAAGACCATCCAAAGATAACGCGCGACAAAAAAGATGCAAAAACTACTTTATGGAAATTGAAACACACTCTCGAGATAGAACTTGATATCACGTTAAAATCTAGCGAATATCGAAAAATAACGGACCGATTGAACGCATTGGATCTTTTAATACCACAAACTGCACCAAAAGTACGACAATTTTTAAAATTGTTTCAGCGAGATCCCAATGCGCCGAGTGCAATTCACGATGTGATTAAAGAGCAAAAAGACAAGACCATTGATAATGATGATAACACGGATCAAAATGAAAATATAACCGTTAATGGAACTAAAAAAAATAAGTTAACTCTTGATCAATATGGACGATCTTTTGCTACCGGTAAAAGGAAAAATGCATCGGCGCAGGTTTCGTTAATTAAAGGTGATGGAAAAGTGTTGATCAATGGAAAGACCTTGGCCAATTATTTTTTAGCACTGAAAGATCGTGAAGCTGTTTTATACCCATTTGAGGTTACTTCTTGTATCGGAGACTATAATGTTTGGGTTATTGTGAAAGGTGGAGGTCCGACAGGTAACGTCAAATTTTTTTATTTTTTTTCAACACTACAGGATTTTTTTTAATTTGTTACTAAATAATAAAATAAATAGGGCAAGCAGACGCGATTGCCCATGGTATCGCAAAATGTCTAATGATTCACAACCCAGAACTTAAATCAATATTACGAAGAGGTTTGTTCCATTCACTAAGAAACCTAACATTCTATAAGAATGATCGCATTTATTTATATGTCTGCCTTTTATAGCAAACCTCGTTGCAAGAGATCCTCGAAGAGTGGAACGCAAGAAACCAGGTCGAGCCAAAGCCAGAAAAAGATACACTTGGTAAGATTTATAAGATTATTGTAAATTCTTTTGAAACCTCAACTAAATCTTATTGTTTCCCAAATCTTAAAGGGTCAAGCGATAAAACGTCTTATTGACATTGTATTTGCCATAATCATTGGTGGTATAAATAAAGTAAATTCAATTCTATGTCCGACCGACTCCAGTGATTCAATATGATCTATTGTGATTTTCCAACGAATGGCTGATAGAAGGTTTGATCTCGTTTCCCAATCATAATCTACATACTAAATATTTTGTTATTTTCAGATTTATTTAAGAAATTTATGCAACAATGAATTTTACGAGGAACTCGAACAAAAGAAACATTAATATATTGAAAGCTTAATCTTCGAACATATATGAATGACATCTTATCGAATCCTTATTCCTAATAAAAAGATAAAATTAATAATATTCAATAAATTAAATTCTGAAAAACCAGCCTATCACTTACCTTCAATGTAAATTCTTTTCGATGAAGAAAGAAAAGGCGAATCACCAGGGCAATTCGTGCTTTATAATTCCATTATACTCAATTGCTATTGGTTGGAAATAAATCACAAGAACTCTAATTGGTCAGATGGCATATTACGTCATAAGATCTGCAGCACTTGATGGCTTATGGCGTCACTCCAACTATAATTCGAAATAGATAAAAATAAAAATTATAATTCAAAAGCGACATCCTTATCCTTCGTCTTTTTATTTATGAATTTAAAACCTATCATTAATGAATTTGTTGATGCGCAAACATATCTTTGCGAAGAGGAGGCAAAGATGATTTATTTATCCAATATAATCCACACGCATTACAGAGAGTCTGAAAAATTTCAACATTGAAATTAGATAATCGCATAGATAAAAATTTTCGCAAATTCATAAAAGCACGCGCATACCTTTGTACCATCAGGCCCTCGTCTTACCAGCGGAGTATCGCGACCATTAATTCGACAATGTTCACAATGCCATTTTTCCAATTGCTCTGGCGCCAGCCTTTGACCTCTTTCTCTGACACGTTCTTGTTTTAGTGGTTTAACGGGTTGCATGTTTTTTTGACGTCTTAGTGGGGAGGAATTAGGTGATAATATACTCGAATTGGGATTACGCGGTAATTGACGCGATCTTGAATTTCCAAAACGAGAAGTTTCTCGTCGAAGACGTCTAAATTAACGTATAATCAGAAAAATTTCGTATACATAGATAACAGATAAGAATTAAACATCAATACAAACCTAATACTTCTCTCTTTATCTAATACAATTTTTTCTAGCTCTTCGGTAGTTAATGTTTCTAATATCGGCGCCCACTCTTCTGCTTCATCAAAAGGTCTGAATGCAGACTTTAGCGGTTCACTTTCTGGATCAAAATCATCTAATTTTTCTTTATGTCGTAAAAGTTGTTCATGTATACTAAAAGCAATTATTGGTGCAAATTCACCGCCAACTCCAAGATCAGCAGTCAATAAACGACTAAATTCTTCGGGTGTCAGATCTGAACTTAGATCCCATTCAAAACGATCTCGAAGATTTAATTTTCCAACCTGTATATCTAACTGCAAAAACTATTATTAATAAGGTCCGAATTATTATGATATAACTCGGCGTACATACGTTTATTTCCACACGATAATCTACTCGTGATAGAGATTTTTCAGCAGCAGATTCATATTCTGCTACTTGAGACCTAATAGCTTCTGCGATCAATGGAGTATACGTTTCAACTGGAATTTCGAGGTCGTTACATAATATCTCGGCGAAACTTTCAGGCGTAATAATTTTTTCTGATAATTTGGATTGCATATTAATTTCGATTTCGTCGCTGGGAAAAATTAATTTGATAAAAAATTCTACCGTTCAAATTCCAAGTGAACGTATCACGCAATTTATGATTCTCGAAATCAAAATCAAGTCTAATAGGAATGAGAACTTCTTTTTGTTCCGCCATTCGTTCCATTTCTTTATTAGATCTACATAACATCCATAGTAGTGATAAAATAAACTTTAGTATTCTCTTATCGGATACTCACTTCATTCATCATATTATACTCACTTATAAACATGCTTTGTTTTTCGCATCCATCTTTTGGTGACTGGTTTCTCGCTGGCTCCTTCACGCATGGTGTAAGGACGACCCGAACTATTCTTGTCAACAGGTGTCATATTTCTTTTGTTATATTCTTCACCACCCCAAAATTCTGCTTCGTCTGATAATGCATCCTCAGCATAATTGACGTTTGCTCCTGCACCACGAGTGCGCCGTTTGTTATTCGTGGATAAGAGAAGTGAAGTGTTTCCTTCCTTTTCTTTCAGGCGACTGGAGTATGTGCTCCAAATGGCTTGGGCAGTGAGCGGCGGGACTGATGTATTCGCAAAAACTAAACAATTGAAGGTAACATATTATATTTTGAACAAGTCAAAATTACGCAGTGAACAAACACACACAGCCTCTACCTTGACGTGTTGAGCGTCTCGAAGTTGGAGTATTGTTCTCTTGATACATATTTGAATAAATATTCATGCCGCTGTTTGACATTGGCATAAAAGTATAATTTGAATTGCCGTAAAGCGACATGTGCATTTGCGTAGTGGTATGATACATAGTTATCTGAAGGTAGAATGTATAGTTAGAAATTTTCAATGGGTAAAATTCGGATATCAACAAAATTAAATCTATCACATGAGCAAAACACGTGGTTCTGATCTGAAAAATCCCAAGCACTACAAAATTATGATTTTCTTTTGACTTGCTGTATTAAGATGGTTGTTTTATGTTCCATTTAATTGAATGACTATAAAACCAGCATAATTAAATTCTACTTATCATAACGACTATATACAGTTGCTTAGGAGGCATTTTTCATAAGAATATAAAATGTTCTGGGATTTGGAAAAGACCGAATTCTTATAAGTGATTGGTAGTTTCACTTTCACGTGATCTATATTCGACTTTCAAAACAAAAAAAATTGTTCATAAAATCATAAATGAAATGGGTCTCTCTAAAAATTCCCTTTATACCAATTTATTCCATTTTATTCCGCCTTGTTTCAAAATTCCGTTTTATATCGATATCTATATATCTGAGTTTTTCATCATTCGATTCAACAGAACCGAGACCGTACGTGGAACATTTTCTTTGGGACTCAATATCTCGAGACCCAATAACGGGAAGTATAAGATATACCATTCGATTCCTGGGTTCTGCCGAATCGAATAGTGGGTTTACACTTCTTTGTCAATGGGTCTCCGAGATATTAAACTCCAAAAGATGTCATGGAATTACTCATTTGGCGATGGGGAACATCCGACTAATGTTGGCCGAAGCTATGACATAATTTATCAAAATTTTGCATGTTTGGCTAAAATTGTGGCTTAATTTCTTAATGCTAGCCAAAATTATGTATGATTTTTATCAAAATTTAGTCATGTTTGTAGCACGTGATATGAAATTGCCGATTTGTTTATGCGCAAATTACGGTGAATATTTATTTTTATAATTAGGAACATAATTTCGGATCATATCGTTCTTAAATAAGAGAAAATTTCTATAACTTTTTGAGCTTGCTTCCACAATACTCCCTCCCCCGTTTTGAGATTCTGCTGAAGATAAAGAATATAATTTGATTAATCAAAATATTCTCAAAACTATCGTGATGTTCTCTGAGAACAGTGAAAGCATTGAATTTTATGCATTGATGTTCCATAATAAAATTCTAAGTGCTAGCGAAAATCGATGTTGCCTAACAAAGTAATTTACTAAATGGTATTACTTAGATATTGAGAATTAAATCTGTTTGAAATCCCATGGGAAACTGTCGTAGATGTCAGCTGGCACTACAAACTAAAATTGAATTTTGCGCTACGGTAATGTCCGGCTGAATAACTTTGATGTCATTTTACCTTGATTACACATGAACTTGTAGTATAAAATAGAGACAATCTGGTGATCAAAGAAAAAATTTCCCGCCATATTTTTTGTTTTTGGTAATAACGTATGTTCCCCTAACGAGTTTTTTGACAAGATTATCAACTATATATAGATTGTTTGTTTATCAAAATTAAATCGAGTATCTGATTATGTACCTATTATGTACCCCCTTGATACACGAAAATGTTTCCAAATAATCAATAAGACCATAATTGGGTTAAATTAGCGCGTGTATGTCTCTGTGCATTATTACATTTTGATTGGTTACCCCGCCAATGATTGATTGACTCAGTTCTCTTATAAAATCACATACCAAACTATGCAAAAATTCTCAAGGTTCTTTAGCTTACTTTCCCTAACTTAAGTGAGCCACAACCAACCCCATAACACACAATTACACTAATCACTAATCGTAAATTCAAAATTCTTGCTTCCTCTTCGCCACTTCTAAACACAACAAACACAACAACAACTCTTATAACAAACTATTTTTATCATTAAACATGCGTGAGTGTATTTCTATCCACGTTGGTCAAGCTGGTGTTCAAATCGGTAACGCCTGCTGGGAACTCTATTGTCTTGAACACGGTATTCAGGTATATATCTATCAGTAGTAATAGTTAGTATAGAACACAAAATGCGAGATTCAAGTTTTTTGCTGCGCGTCATCTGAGCAATTCTTCGAGCCCAAGAAGACCTTTAAACAACATTATAAGCAAAAATCAAGAACTATGAATTAAAAATTATTTCTCCATTTAATTAAATTTCTAGCCTGATGGTCAAATGCCATCTGATAAAGCTGGTGGTGGAGGTGATGATTCATTCAACACTTTCTTCTCTGAAACCGGTGCCGGCAAACACGTTCCTCGCACGGTGTTCGTT